GGAATGTACTAAAAAAAATAAGGGGGAAAAAGAAGATTAAATAAGTTATGAAACTTACTGAGGAAAAGCCATCTAAAAGTCCTAAAATACTTTTTTATCCTGCTGCTAGATGTGAAATGTGCTGCAAGACTGACAAGGATTCTATCTTCTGGTCTTCTAGAAAGCTTCTACAATTCTGAGACATTTTTTTCCAGAGATAAAAACTCAAAAATCCCCACACTTCGAATAAACAGATTATATACCTTCATGGAAGGGCTACATGGAATCTGCTAGGAGTTTTAAAAACCAAAGAAATCAGCAGTAATCCCTACCTAGCTGGTCCTCCCATGTAGCTTACTAATTATTCATTTGAGAGGAATGTAACATGGCCTAAACAAGATTCCTTTAGGCATGATAACGAAAGTAGTCCCTTCCAATAAATTGCAGGGCCAAGATCAGTCAAGAACTGATCAGACAAGAGGCAGCTCTAACCTGGAATCTGACATAGCCTATTGACATTGTGCTGTGCCCACAGACCACCAATTCAGGCACTACAGCATGTTTGAGTAACTGTAAGAACAGAGGCTGAGGGATGCCTGTAGTATCTACACACATCTAAGTAGAAAAGACATATGATATCATCCTATCATATCTGCAACTAAGTGCAGGTAAAAACAACTCTCTGCTAAGTGAGCTTCCAACATGACCTGCATAAAATTATGTTAATCAAATGTCATTTAAATACAACCTATAAAAAGCTGACCTAACATTGTGTTAAGAACTCCAGATACAAAGGCATTCCACATAAGGCAGTAATTCTCAGTTTTAAAAACAGGGTTTTACCTTCAAAAGATGGATATTTATTAGTTTTAATTAATATCCATCCTTTCAAATTCCAGACCATCAAAATACTATGCCCTGAAACAGCCAGTCTAGGAAATACTACATCATGCTCCATGAACCTGAAAGTAACCTTGAACTGGAAAGCCATTGCCAGCAGCATGGCTTGAGGATGTTGCAATATTGGAAAAAAGAGCAAAGACAAAAGAAAAAAAAAAAGGAAAAAAAAAAAAAGAGCTGTTTGTCACAATCCTGACATAAACTGCTTATTCAGATCTACATCTACAGTGACTACTGTCACCTTGATTTCAGTAGACCTTATCTCTTTCACTGTGTCAGAAAGGCAGAGGAGAAAACAAACACAAAATGACCATTTTATTATACAACAGGATGCTGAATATGTTTGCAAGAGCACATTATTTTCATTTTTTAAATTTTGACCAAGAACTTTGTTCAGAAAGATGGGGAAAGTCTGTTGCATACCAACAAGATATGCCTGCAAATTTTAATTCTCCATTTGCATACACCATCTACACCAGATCAAGCCTTGTGTCTTGAAGGGCCTACAAGAAGAAGTATCTCAGCACTGACTTTTTTTTTTTCTTGTTGTTACACCTCCCTGCTCAGAGATGAAATGAAACCTTGAGGTCCCTAAGCAGGTGATTGTTACTTGGTGAGATAAACAGGAAAGAGGAAACTGGTCTTTGTGTCTCCTTCAAATTTTATAGCTGTTGATAGCCAAGGGCTAACAAACATTATCTGGAATATAAGCATCATATGAAGTTTCAAATGCATCCTTCTCCTCAAACTGATGGTTAGATCTAGCAAGCACTACGAAAACATTACCAATTTGGATAGTATCTCCATCCTAAGACCGCAGGCTGCTTATGCACTAAGCGAAAAACAGTAACAAAACCTTGTTAGAACAAACTACATACAGAAAAATCTCACTATGGATTTGGGGATGAACACAGAACTAAAATTTCTGAAGCTGTACCAGTTCAATATGACAACAGTTGCTTCCTCAACAGCTACTTACTGTCCACTGAATAATGTCCGATATGAACACGTTCACAAAACTACTTTCTCAGATTTTGCAAAACATTATAGAAACTAGCTAAAATAAACTTGTATTTAGCTACAACACACAAGACATAACATGGCTTCTCAAATCTGTACCATGTTTCAGCAATTCCAGCCTTTTAATTTTCCTTGTGAAAGCTTCCCAAAGGATAGACACTAAAGAATGAAAAAGGATAGTTGTTTATAGGGCTGGCTTTGCAATCCTGTAATTTAAGAATGCCAATTTAAAAGGGATAATCATTTACAGATATCCTATATGGTCTACAACAAATATTATTTACTCCAGATCAGCAGAAGTCTCATTCCAAAACACTGTTCTCCTCAAACTTTAAGAAGATAAATTATCGCTTTCTGTCTTTCCTTCTCAGAAGGCCTACTGAACACCAGAACCATTCTTGTCAAGTATGTTACTGGCACTGATCTAGTCAAAACCATGTCTCAGACGTAAGTATTCACTATGAATGCCAAAGGAGGATGCAAGAAATACTGCCAGGATATACAATAATTTTTCTGCCTCTCCCTGCACTCCAAAATAAATAGACCTGAAGAGGTAAGTTTCAAAAAAGGTGTTAAAACAACAAAGAAACATTTTTCCCAGTCCAGTCTACTCAAGTATTTTTATTCAGAACTTCAATTACCACCACCTACGTGAATTCAAATGCAGCAGTTAAACTTCTAGGTCATTAAGGCCTCACTCTACCAAAAACACTCAATGAAAACATCAATTTCACTGAAAGGACCTAGAAAAGAAAGGAGTCTTTCCAACAGACCCCACCACATCTTTGTCTGGACCAAGGGTAACTTGTAGTCTTTTCTCTGCAGGATATAACCAGTTTTATATCTCTGACTGTGATAGCACTGAATACATGAGTGCAACCCAACCACTTCAAGACTCACTAGAATCTTCCCTCAGTGGTCTCCAAGACAATTGCTTCCTAAAGACAAACAGATTTATTCATGCCTGTCTGCAAGTCCTCCTCTAAAAACTTCTGAGCCTACTGGAAACTGCAAATTAATTTGGAAGGAGTAGAGGCCTCAGCTGTAATGTTCCTGAACATGAACTGCTAGGAAAGCAGTTCAGATTAGTATCTACGCAGCATGAATGGCTGCGGTTAGAGTTCAGTGGTTATCTCTCCTTCACCCCATAAATGACAAAGCAACGTGCATGTTCTGGACTGCTAGGCAGCACGCATGAAGTTTGGAACTACTCATTACACCCACTAGCAGTAAAGAAACAAGAGGGAGACATCAGAGTACTGAAAGATGACAAAAAAGTCGAGGAATATCAGAGGGACATGAAAACAGAGATATTTCAGGGTATAAATCAAAGAAACTAGGAGAGTGGGGACACAGCTCTGCTGCAGTAAAGATACAGCCAGAGTAGAACAAGTCCACATAGATTTGGATTTCATTTGCTCCAATACTCACAGACAATTTCTTAGGCTGGCATACTTGCATTCAGCTTGTGAGTATCTGATCAACACCACTAATTCTAAAGCTGCAGTCTTACAAGAGACAAATCAGCAGGGTCAGAAAGAGTAATTAGCAGCGGACTGACTGGAATAATCTGTTGTAGCCTTTATATTACACTCAGGAGAGTGGAGAGAAAGCACAATGTTAATTGAAGTGTTTAATGTTTTTGCCCCCCTCCCACAGGCAGACAAAAAAAGTCTACAGGATTTGAAAAATGGTCATATGTCCTTGATCGAAAAAAAAAACCCTCAGACATCTAGTACAGCGTTCTAGATGGCTGCCATTAGTAATGTATCATGCCAACTGATCTACTTGTTGTTATAGCTAGATATTTATTTAAACATTTTAACACATTGGCATCATACTCTGAATACGATTAGTCTAGCATTTACGTGATAAAACCAACTATTTCATTTAACAGAAACTATGTGAAATAGCACTGTCTGTTGTACTGAAACTACTAAGAAATTGAGTCTTCCTTTTGGCATGTTTTTTTTCTTTAAAAACTCAAAAAGCAAGAGAGAACTAAAAGTTCATGTTACCTGTGTTGCTCATGTAGCGATTCTACTTTGGTAAGAAAATCCTTGTTCTGCTCTGGTATAAAGTTGTAATTTGACAGATACCCTGAATGATGTACTGAAGCATTATAGTCTCCAAGTTGTGCTGTTAGGAAACAAGAAACACACAAAGTTTTCATAGTTAATTATTATTTAGAAGGAATTCCTTCTCCTCATTGAAACACGTACACACATGGGGAGACGCAGGAATTACGAATTATTTCCCAACAGACAAGCAGTGTTGAACACAGGGAACTGTATGACATTAGTGAAGAAAGATTTTTATCAAGATATGCTTACCATAACTATAATCTCAGTCACTGAATGACTCAGTACTTTATTTAGTTACTTATATAGCCCCACTTCTGCATCACAAGCTGTAACACCACCAGACAGGCATTACATGCCACATCGGCACAGACGTGCATACTGTAACATTAGAGGAAAGCAAATTGCTTCAGTAAGAGACAGCAAATGAAATCATTTTGATATACATTTACATTTACCTCTCTACAACTACCTGAAAGGAGGTTGTAGTGAGGTGGGTGTTGGTCTCTTCTCCCAAGTAGCTAGCGATAGGACAAGAGGAAATGGGCTTAAGCTGCGCCAGGGGAGGTTTAGACTGGAAATTAGGAAAAATTTCTTTACGGAAAGGGTGGTCAGGCATTGGAACAGGCTGCCCAGAGAGGTGGTGGAGTCACCATCCCTGGAGGCGTTTAAAAAACGGGTAGATGTGGCACTTCGGGATATGGTTTAGTCTGGTCTACCCTTGATTAGTCTAGAGTGGGCTTGGTAGTGTAGGTTAATGGTTGGACTGGATGATCTTAAAGGTCTTTTCCAACCTAGATGATTCTATGATTCTATGATTCTATGATTCTACTTGCCTATAACATATTAGAAGTATTCCACAAGATCTGTCACTTAGAAAACATCTACTCTTTACACTATTAAGTAAAAATTGTTCAAACTACCAACTGTGGCTCTATCCTGACAATTCAATTGTTAGTTTTGCCTCAGCTGAAGATGAGTTACTTAAGAATGCATGAGAAATAACTGCTGAGATACACATAACATTACCAAGCTGCTACCAAAAGTAAACATATGTTTATAGCCAAATAAACTAAAAGAAAAAAGAGAAGTTCCCTAAAACTTTATCCCTTCAAAAATGATCCTAGTTAGTAGATATTTTTAAATAGTTACTAGACAAAGCTAATTCTTATCCATAGTTGGTGGTACATCTGAAAAGATATGAACATATAAATGACAACAAGTTTATAGGCTCGGTCTATGCAAGTTTTCTTTGAAAGCTAGGTCAGCATAAGTTTACATCCTGGAAAACATACACAAACCTTTTACTTGTTATAAACATGTAAGGTTTGGGGCAGCAGGGAGGTTGCTTCTAATAAAGTACTTGCCTGTTTGCCACAAATTTACATAGTTTCAATTAATTAAGCAGTAATTCAAACGCCATATTTCATGAAAGAAATCTGTGTTTTCATGAAATAGTTGAAGAGATTAAACTCCCAGAATGATGGTATGTTTAAACAAATCACTAGAACCTGTACTAATCTGCTTTTTCCCTAAGCATCATGAAGTAGTTATTCTAAAGCATTAAAACTTCCCAGAAGTTATTTGTATGACTTGTAAATTAACACAAAAGAAAGTACTCGTATAGACTGCAAACAACTCAACTTAGAAAGCCCCTCAACTAAATCAAAGTTAAAGAGCATACTTTCAGGAACAATACTATTACCATTATTTTCCAGGAAACACAAAGTATAAAAGTGATTTAAATGATCCAGGTTGGGGGTAGGGGGGGAAGTTGTGGACTTCAGAAATAACTTACAGCTACAGCAACTATGGAGTATCTGTAATGTGGGGATAACTAATATTTGCCACTTACATATTCAAAAAGCATGATTTCTATGGCCTGGAAGACAGAACCACTGTGATACAAAACAATTCCCATGCAAATGTGGTCAGAAGCTAATATAGTCACACAACTGATTGTCAGCATCAAGGTAAATATTTAAATAAAGAAGAAAGTGGAATGATAAACAGTAAGTAATTTATTTTGAATGCAGATGTTCCTGCAATGCTTACCCCTTTCTTTTTAAAGGCAGCCTGAATTTTAAATTAGTTAGCAAAATGGCTGGCCAAAGACTAAATATTTACCTTTAGAACCAAAGCACATATTTGAACACTTCTGTCAAATGATATATCTCTGAAGAACAAATTAAAAAAACCAAGATAGACAATCTAGAAGTATAACAAGAAACTGAAATAATTTTTAGGAATATCTATATATTAACAAAAGTCCAAGTCTCTGCCAAGACTAAGGCTAAGGCAGTAACAATAAAAACAAAAAACAAAACCCTTTTGAACAAAGTAGGTATGTTAATAACAGTGTAAAAATAAAACACACAGTTTCACAGATGACAGTAGTTGATTGAAGACTTTTTCCTTTATTAGCCATTAACATAACCCATCTTTTCTATGAAACACAGTCAACATTTTTAAGGTTCATTGCAGCTAGCTTGAATTACATTCCTGTCAATGGGAAGAGACCAGGTTGCCAGGAATAAGACAATGTAATTGTCCACTTCAATTTTATTTGCATTAGGTAAAAATATTTTTTACTGTAGTTTTACCTTCTCTAAAGAGGGCAACTGCTGTTCCTTCATGCATTATGAGGTAGAGTCTTCTTGCTCGTCTTCCAAATATGGAGGTTACTCTGGTCTTTTTTCCTCTTCCTCCTAGCTACCTGAGGTCATGTCGACAAGGGGAGCAGTTTAGAGTACTACTTGCTTCTCCAACTCCCCAGCCAACTGTCACAGTTGAAGAGAAACTATAAATGCTGATTAGTAGACATCTTGGAAGACTAAATGATCTTGTGCAGGGTTTAATTATCCAAGTAGAAAAAAAAGTTAGGGCATATCAAGACCTCAGTAAGAAGAAAAAACTATGAGATTTCTACCTCTACTGGATTTCTCCAGATGAGAGCAGAGGGGCAGGAAATATTAAAGACCTATTTCTAATACAAGTTTCTCCTGACATAGCTTCTGCTTTGATCACATAAGCCAGCAGATACTGACTCAATGAGGATAAAGTTACAGTTAAAAAAAAAAAGACCATATTTTTACTATTTTCCATTCTAGCCAACTGTTGCTCTTTAATTCATTATAACTGGGAAAGAATATAGAGCAAAATGAATGACAATGGAACCAAGGGGTTAAAAAAAAATCAGTTATTTGAATATCAGATTCTTGTGTTTGAGTTCTATATCTAATATGAAAGGCTTTAAAGAAGGGAACATGATGGACCATTCATTTAGAAGGCCATATTCAATAAAAAGAGGACATTTATTTTATAACTCTGAGTAAAAGAATAGTGCAATAGCCAAGCAGCCACAGAATAATTTTCCATGGATGAAGTCCCATGTTGACCTACCAAAACAGTAGCTGTATAAGCTCTCAATACAGTAAGAATTTATAAATGCTTAAAAAGCAAATTAAAATCTTGATATCATATATGTTTACACAGGATATGAACTGCCTATGCCTTACTGAAGCCTAAACAAGCCATCTGTTCTTCAGACTGTAAAAAGAATTATTTTAGCTAGAACAATGCGGTGGGTATGTATTTTTGTCTCTCTCCTGGCAGCAGAAGACTTTTGTGCAGGAAGGCAAAAGAAAAGGACTAATTAAAATGACAAAAAATTTACACATTGTTATAATATTGAGATACAGAGGAAGGGAAGACCACGAACAAGTGTATTTATGCAGCACTGATAGATTTCAGTAGGAATTCTATGGGTACACATTCACCTTCCCTAGAAAGAGAAGCTTGAGTACCAGATATATTGCTGTATTAAGGAAAAAAAAGGAAAAAAATAAGAAAAAAGAAAAAAGAAAAGAGAGCTTTATAGAGGGAAGATCTGACACATATGGAAGCAAAAAAAAGCCATTGATGCCAACAACTCTTACGGTAATTCCTGAGGTTTCTTCCAAGAAACCATTGGTCAGTTGGCTTATATATTAGGGTAAGGAAGCACTGATCTCATTTCTGTCTTCCACTACCCAAAAGGGAGAGCGCAAGAAAGACAAAGCCAGACTCTTCTTTGAGTCGCAAACCAAAAGGATGATAGACAACAAAAATTTCAGTATTGAAAACGCAAAACTGAACTGCAAAGGCCCTGAGCAACCTGATATGACTTTGAAGAAGCCTCTTCCAAGCTAAACTTGCCTGTGGTTCTTACTTACATGAAGTTATTTTTGACATACAAGCTTTCTGCTACACAACCAATATAATTATTTGTTTGGTTCCCATTTTGGAAATTAATTTTGTTGTTGTTTTTGAGTGCTAACAGTACCAAAATACCATCATTTCAATCTGGCCCAATTTCCAAAGGCAGCCCCAGAAAACATAACAGTAGAAAAGATAAGCCTTTAGCTTTGTATAACTTAAAGGGTGACCGATTTCTGCTTCCTATCTATGTGATAGCCTTCAAGGTATAGAAGACACGATGGTCTCCAATTCTACAGAGTTTGTTTGTAAACAATAATAAAATAATTTGCATACAAAGTAATAGCACCAAAACCTATTTCTGCCTATGGACATTCCAAGTAACTACAGATGTCAGAAGGCAAATGTATGAACAGCTCATTGGCTAAGCATGATGGGAAATCAGTTATAGATAATATGGACAATTTGGTCCAAAGGAATGCCTACAAAAGCTAGTCCTTGAAAACAGGTTTAACATCAACTTTCTAAAGACCTGAGAAGTGTACCAGAAAAAAATCAAGTAGTTTCACACTGAATTCATAACTTTTTGCAGGGTTGAATATTTTAGGTGACATGAATAAAGCACAAAAGTGAACTGAGCTACCTGGTTTTAAAAGAGGATAATTACATAAGCAGATCAGGTTCCCAATGGAACAGAAAATAACCAAACAATGGGACAAGTCTAGCAGACAAGTTATATAACTAATTTAACTTTTATCAAGGAGTAAAAATCCTCAGGTATAAAATTGCAATACAGGATTAAAATATAGTTAGGGTCACATGACGGGCCTCCAAATTAGGACAGCAATAATAACTGACATG